CGCCATGGGGCTACACTGCAGCAGCTGTCCTCACACAGGACATTTGTACCACTATAAGACGAGCATTGTCCAAAAGGACAGGGGGTGCAGTGTATGTCTGTGTGTACACACATGATAAATTGCATGCACACTTGATCTTGGCTAAGTGGTGCTTCAGGGCAACGTGGCTACATGGGCACAAGTGCCATTATTCATCCTTTTTTTCCCCCTAGAAGACGTTTTTTCACGAAGTTGCATTCCTGACTTCACAGGGAAAGATAAACTGTTGCACAGAGGAACCTGGCAGCCAGAGCCATGTTCGTGTTTAACCTCAGATTCCCAGCAACACACACGCACACAAACAGATGCTGACAAATCTGGAACAAGATGCCTAATGGTCACTGATAACTACCGATCACGACTGGACAAAAGCAACTGCAGAGGCAGAGTAAAAAACATTATTCGGAAGGATAGAGAGTTGTGTTGTCTACGAGGAAATTGTGTTATCGAGCACAAGTGTTGAAGTAACCAAACACTTGGGGTTGTTTCCTAAAAAATGCTCCAAATTGGCTCATTTCCTTAATGAGCTTGCAGACAGGGTATGAACTGTTGTCAGTCTTCCTCTGGCTGGGAAAAAAAAGTTTTATTTACTCTAAACTTAATTTGTGAACTACGGCTTACAACACAGAAACTGGAATATGAGCAATACCTGACAGTAATCTGAGCAAGCAAAGAGGACATCTGTTATTTCACATTTAACTCTTCTTCTTCCTCGCTCTAGCTCAAGAAACACGAATAGATCTTCAGAAAGCTCAGTTAGAAAGCATCCTTCTGTGACTGTCAAAAATCTAAAAATGAACTGAGTCAAAGTAACACTGAAAATACACAACCGGTTTCACAAAAGTACAGTAAGACAACATTTAAAAAATAAAAAAGTATTCTCCTGCACAATAAATGTGTTATCGTATGGCAAAACCTTTCACCTACCTACCTTTTTTTTATATATAAAACTACAATAATGTGTCACACCTCTTCCTGCAGTCCTAAAGTTAGAAATTGGCATTATTAGGGGTGTCCCGATCCGATATTGATATCGGATATCGGTCCGATATCAGCCAAAAAATGAGTATTGGATTTTATCGGCCTGCATAAAAAATGTCTGATATAAGCGCTCCGATATAAGTAGTTCAATCCAGCAGTTCACTGCCTCCGCTCCAGTGTTTCTATCCAGCAATGCTTGGCTCCAGCATGCAGAGCTCACGTGATCACAACAACATGCAGAGCTCACGTGATCACAACAACATGCTGCGCTAACAAGTTAGCAAGAATATCGGCAGCAGAACTTTCTATTTTCATCAGAAACAGAGTTGCAGCGAAGTGCAAAGTTGTCACGTACAAGTTTTCCGTGGGAGCACAGAACCGTGAACGTTTTAAACCGGAGCTACAACTACTCTCCACCCTGGCAGCAGCTTTGCGGTTCGGCTCGGTTCAGCCTCGGTCCAGTGACCGCACACAGCCGCGCTGTTTCGGAACCTCCTCCCTGGTCCGGTCGGTGGTTCTAAGCTGGCAGAAGCGAGGACAGCACGCTTACAGTTTTGACATCCCGTGGATTAGCTCTGTGTCGATGGACAGAAGAAAGGAGAGCGCAGATTTTGTTTTGAAATATAAGCGCGACATGACGAGAGCAGCGATAAAAACTGCTCCCTGCAGGAGCGAGAGGCTGATCTCCACATGATGCTCAGAAAATGCAGCAGTAAGAAAGGTAGCTATCAATTTAAATAACTGACTAATTCTTACTATTTATTTTTTGCTCTTGTTATTAGAGTGATGTTTAAACTGTTTACACACTTGTTTGAGTGAAGATTAAGTGCAATGATCACATTGTTTTGTTTTGTCCCCACCTTCAGTTTTTCCCACCATAAAGCAGCACCAGGCTGACAGGTAGTAAAACAATAAGTGATTTTGAATTGTTATTTTATACTTTAAAAGTACATTTTGTTTTTATTATGTTATTTTTTCATGGTATTGTAATTTACTTTATTTATTAAATTGTAGAATGTTCTTCAGTTTAAAATGTATGTGATCCATTGGTTAAAAATAAATGGGTCAGTTTTTCTCATACCTGGTCTTTTTCACTGTTTGACTTGATCAAGACTTTTCTAAGATTTTGCACTACAAAATAGGTAAAAGTGTGTGACTTGTACTGTTTTGGTAATGGGTCAATATTGGTATCGGTCAATATCAGTATTGGACAATTCTCAAAGTTGCAATGTCGGTATCGTATCGGAAGTGAAAAGTTGTATCAGGACATCCCTATTAGTTTCTACAAGTTGGAAAATTAGACTGCTTTAATTCCGCAACAAATTGATGTTTATTGTGTGTTAATACCAAAAACCCTTCAAATGTTTCCTCATATCAACTGCTTAAGGCTGCCTGTAACTTTAGTGTCTACATTTTGCTACAACTTTTTCTTTTTAGTTTTAAAGCTATATAACACCAACTTCAGCTGTAATAAAAAGGTTTACAGATATTTTAATTATGAAAGCAAAAGCAGTTTTTATGCNTTTATTTATTAAATTGTAGAATGTTCTTCAGTTTAAAATGTATGTGATCCATTGGTAAAAAATAAATGGGTCAGTTTTTCTCATACCTACTCTTTTTCACTGTTTGACTTGATTAAGACTTTTCTAAGATTTTACAGTGCAAAGTAGGTAAAAGTGTGTGACTTGTACTGTTTTGGTAACGGGTCAATATCGGTATCGGAAGTGAAAAAGTGGTATCAGGACATCCCTAGACGTTATAGTTTTCTATGACCAATACCAAGCTCTAAATCAGAACAGCTGATGGCCAACACAACACTGAATTTTTGGGGCTATTGTGCACATTCTGCTTAAACTTAAATAAATATGGATTTATTATCTTATGAATTAAAATAACTAAATCTTGGAAGACAAAGCTAAAGCTGCATTTTCCTTTTTCTATCGGCTAAGTATGCGAATGAATGTCCGATAGTCGATTAATCGGCTGGCCGATATAATAATCGGTCTATGTTAGGGTTGCGCATAATCGTGTGCAATTAATCATCAGAAAAACATTAATCGATTATTTTTTGGCACTTGACGATTAACACGATTAATGTCACCAGGCAGAGTCCGCTCGGTGCTCCTTTCTACTTCAAATATAACAAACATTTAAATAAAAGTTCTGTGGTTTATTTATCCATCAACACAATTTAAAATTTGATCTGAAGCCTGAAGTCTGTGACTTTGACACAATTTGGAACAGATTTTTACGAAGAGCAAATATTTCCCACTAAATTGGTCATGTGACTAGGACGTAAGAGTGTCCAGGGAAATAATCAAATTAATCGTTATCGGCTAAATACCACAATTAATCGTGATTAATTTTTTGCCAATATTGCCCAACCCTAGTATGTTTAGCTAGACATCTGAGCTTCAGCTAAAATGAACCAAACAAACAAATAAATAAATACATAAAACAGCCTTTTCCTATGCAGGCGGTCCTCAAGTGCCACTGTCCTGTATGTTTTATCTGTTTCCCTGTTCTTCAGCAGGTCTTCAGGTTCTGCAGAAGCCTGTTAACCTCAGGTGTGTTGAAGCAGAGTACTGAGGATGACTGTCCTGTGCAATGAAAGTGGCTTTAACACAAAACATGTCACTTCAGAACATTTGGGGTACCATTATAGGTGCTTCTGTAGCCTTGCTAAATAACAAACCCTAACTTTTTAACTTTAGTAAGCTT